CGTCACTGACACTCAGTGCAGGAGCGTATGTACTTGCGAACGTAAGAGTACATTCCACGCTAGAAAAATCGCTGACGAAGCCGGTCGTATGTTTTCAAAATGCCAGCGTGCGCGTTTTGAAGGTCTGCGTGGAAGTACGCGCATATGTTGGAGCGCAAATGGCGAGGTATAACAAGAAGCCATTTCCTACCATCCAGCTGATAGTTGCGACGGTACAACATGGCATCCCATATTGCATAATGGGAAATTCGCCGACGTAGTGCACGAGGTAGATGCTGGCGTGGTGTCACTGAAGACGAGGAGGGAACGTCGATGAGCGAGGCTATCCAAGGGTCCTTGCGTTGTTCCGAAGGCATGTCAGCGATATCGATGCTGCCGATGGTAGCTTCGGCGAAGGAAACAGGTGTAGCGGCTGAAGGAAGGGGCGAACGAGAAAGAGCATCTGCGTCAGTGTGCTTGCGGCCTGAGCGGTAAATGACGTGAATATTAAATTACTGTAAACGTAGCGCCCAACGCCCAAGCCGGCCAGAAGGATCCTTCAATGAAGCGAGCCAACAGAGTGAATAGTGGTCAGTAACTACATCGAATGGGCGTCCATATAAGTAAGGACGAAATTTTTGTAATGCCCAAACAATGGCCAAACATTCCTTTTCGGAAACCGAGTATTTGTTCTCTGCCTTGGTTAGGGTGTGACTGGCATACGCAACTACATACTCCGAGAAGCCAGGTTTTCGTTGAGCAAGGACAGCGCCAAGTCCTAAGCCATTGGCATCCGTGTGCACCTCGGTTGGAGCAGTAGGGTCGAAGTGGCGTTAAATAGGTGGTGAAGTAAGGAGATGGCGTAATGTTGCAAAAGCATCATCGCATGCTGGCGACCAATCAGAGAGGTGTCCATCGCCAGAGATCAGCTGTGTCAGTGGTGCGATTATCGAAGCAAAGTTCTTCACAAAGTGGCGAAAGTAAGAGCATAGTCCGACAAAGCTGCGAAGCGCTTTCACGGTCGTAGGCTTCGGAAACTCAGCGACAGCACGAAGCTTCTCTGGGGTCTGGGAGGACGCCCTGTTTTGAGACAACGTGACCAAGTATCGTAAGCTTCCGAGCTCCAAAGTGGCACTTCTTAATGTTTAGTGGAAGGCCTGCGCTCGTGAGGCAGCTCAAGACTTCGCTGAGACGTTGAAGATGGCTGTCGAAATCAGGGGAGAAAACAACGACTTCACCCACGTAGCATAGGCATGTCTTCCATTTTAACCCACGCAAGACGCTATCCATCACCCTTTCGAATGTGGCTGGCGCATTACAAAGGCCGAAGGGCATTACATTAAAATCGTATAGCCCATCGGGCGTCACAAAAGCAGTTTTTGGACGATCTGTTGGTGTCATAGGGACCTGCTAATAACCGGACCGTAGGTTTAGTGATGAGAAGAATTCAGCGCCTTGCAAGCAGTCCAGTGCATCATCGATGCGCGGTAAAGGGTATACGTCTTTAATCGTGACTTTGTTTAAACGGCGGTAATCGACGCAAAAGCGAATCGAGCCGTCTTTTTTTCCTCACAAGTACCACACGTGAAAACCAGGGACTGCTGGACGGCCGAATGACGCCACGTTAAAGCATGTCGGCCACATGCTCGGTGATTACAAGACGCTCCATGGGAGATACACGGTAGGGACGCTGTCGCAGAGGCGCTTGGGAGCCGGTGTTTTCGTAATGCACAACGGTGTGCGTTCGGCCTAAGGACGTCTGCTGGCAATGGAACCAGCCGAGAAACTGGTGAAGAAGTTCTAGAAGCTTTTCGCGGTGTGGTTCTTCAAGTTCGCCATCGATTGAGGGGCCAAACAAATTATTTTCGTGGACAATTTACTGGGCAGATGGCGTCAATGCATTAAGCCGCAAATCACTTTCACCGGCAAGGTCGAAGATGGAGGAAACGTCTGTCTTGAAATGTTCCAATACATTCTCCATGACGCAAGGTTGTGGGAGACGGCAAGTGATTTGTGACAAACAAATTGGTAGCGCCCGCCAAAATATCGAGAACTGCAAACGGCAACGCGAGGCTCTTGCTACTTCGGAATGTTTGGGAAGGCGTAAACAACACTGCAGGCTTAGACACATCGGCACAAGATACGGTAACAAAGGCTGCGCTAGTCGGTGGTATGTCGATGTCGTCAGCGACAAACAGCTTGTTCAACGGAAATTCCGGAGACGAGGCACACAACGCAGAGAAGGCCACTTCAGCAGGAGCACAGTCGATAACCGCATGATTACGAGACAGAAAATCCCAGCCGAGGATCACATCATGAGAACACGCCTTTAGCACAAAAAATTCAATGGTATACAAAACATCTTGAATGAGAACGCGAGCGGCACAGGCAGCTGTTGGTCGAATATGGTGAGCACTGGCAGTACGGAGGGACAACCCCTTTGGCGTCGTGGTATTCTTCCGAAGCGGGCGGCAAAGTTTTAAATCAATTTCTGAAACGGCAGCACCAGTGTCCACAAGCGCAAGGGTACGGTAACCATCCACAAAAACGTCGATAAGGTTTGTCGGAGAAATACGAGGACTTGATTCGTTCGACGACGACGCAGTTCGTGCCTCCGGAACTGTGGCATCTAGTTTTCCGCGTCTGAAGGGCAGGGTCGACGGCGCATAGGTGACCGGGAGCGACGTCCGTCTCCCCGACGTCGCTCCCTGTCCCCCTATGCGCCGTCGGGGAGATGGAGATCGGTGACTGACTGAAGGAGGGCAGTCGGGTGAAGAAGACTCTTGTTGACGTGCCGTGTTGTGAAAGCGCCGAGAGTCATGCGACGATCTTTGCATGTTGTCGCTCTGAATGAGAGGGCGGCGGCAGCACACGCGAGCCACATGTCCTGCGTAACCAGAAGAATAGCAAATCGGGCGGTTGTCTGCGGTGCGCCACGGATTCGGAAACGCTGCAATCGGCCGGCTGAACAGAACTGGTGATGGCCGAACAGGGATCGGTGAGGTAGCATAAGTGGGCTGTTGAGGTGCTCTGGCTGCAACGACTTGCGCCTACGTCAAGGGTGCGGCCTCCAGATGTGGTGAACGAGCGAAAGGCAAAGCGTCCGCTACCTAATCTTGTATGACGTGCCTTATGGCCGGGGCCAGATGATCTGGGGCCGAAGGATGCGGCTGTGCTGGCTCGGGCGTGCTCAATAAAATGGAGAGCTGCCGAGGGACCTCCTCAAGCACGAACTGCTTATGCGAGCCAACATGTCGTTCTGGTCTCCGAGAGTCAAGGCCGCGATCGAATCACGTTGTTCCAGAGAGCGCCGTGTTTCGGCGCGTTGCTTGCGCAATTCGTCAAAACTCTGGCACAAGCTGACGAGTTCGGCAATGGTTTGTGGGTCCTTGGCTAACAACATTTGAAATGCGTCATCGCATATGCCCTTGAGGATTTGTTTGATTTTGTCGGCTTCGAGCATCGCTGGGTTTACCCGCTTGCACAAGTCAACAACGTCTTCAATGTAGCTGGTAAAGCTCTCTCCTGGCTGTTGAGCGCGCTCACGAAGTCGTTGTTCTGCGTGGAGCTTTGACCGCCTTGACAGCAGGGCGGTCAAACACTAGCGAAAAGGAGGCCTTGAATGAATCCCAGCTGGCAATGTCGGCTTCGTGATTCTGCAACCAGAGACTAGCGACGCCGGACAAGTAAAAGCTTACATAGGTCAGCTTAGCCGCATCGTCCCACTTGTTCGCGGCGCTCACCTTGTGGTAAGTAGCCAGCCACTCCTCAACGTCTTGGCCGTCAGTGCCGCTGAAGATCGGTGGGTGACGCTGTGGCCACACGCCGGGACATGTAGAGGCGGGAACTTGCGAGGTACCTTGGGTGGAGGGTTCTTCCGGCATAGCTGGCACTGCAGGTAAGGTGCGACTTCGTAGTTCCAGCTTCGAAGACTACCCAGCACTTCCACCAGATTATAAGGGGGTTTATTGAATAAAACCAACTGCCTTGTTCAAGAGGCGTCAGTCACTGTCACGAGCTCAGCTCTTCGTCGTAGTCATCTTTCAGGTGCTCCAACTAGATACTGTCTCTCTCCTTCTTCCCCACTACAGCTCATATTTAAATCCGCTTCGCGGAATAGGCGAGATATCTCTTCCACATATAATGCGACAGTTTCGTTATTTCGCTGATTTCTTGTCTGGAGCGCAGCTTCAGCTCTCTCTCTGTGGTCTGTGTTCGGGAAAGCGGTGAGCAGCTCCCGTCGAAAGTCATCATACCACCGGAAGGTAGCTTCATGGTTTCATTCCATGTTCGTGCGCTATCTTCCAGCGCGAAGTAAACACTGCCAAGTTTGCGCTTTTCCCCATATCCGTTAGCCTTTGCGACGCGTTCAAAGTGTTCAAGCCAGTCCTCTGCGTCCTCGTAGCTTTCGCTGTGGAAAGGCTTTGGTAGCATTGGCTGGTTCACTACAATGTTGGCTCGCGTGACCTGAGCTGTCATGTCAATTCCCGTTCACAGCCGTTGAGGTTCTAAGGGAAGTTAATAAAGATGAAACTTTAGTACCCTTACCACGTAGGGGTCGCCTGCAGCGCTGATGTACCGGCATCAGCTCGTTGGGTCCATATCGTTGTGGTTCTGGACTGTGCTCCATCACTCGAGAGGGGCTTGGCTTCGCACCCAGTACGCTCACCAGATTTGTAACGCATGGTTCAATGAACAATTTTATTAAGCTAACGTAGGCAGAGAATAATAACGCAGCTAGAATGAAATCTCCTAGTTGTCTCGAGGATTCACTTCTGCCTCTTCCTCCACGTTCTTTTGTTTTCCAACACGGGTCGCGCGCAGCTGGGCCCCGCAGGCTCCTTGGTCGCAAACCATCTGAGGGGAACAAGTATCGGCTAGCGCGCGTAACTTGAAGTAACTTTGCGTCAATATGTGAGCGGTGTTTGCTTATCAGCTACCGTCTTGCCATGCTGCTTTACTTTTGCATCACCAGTTTCATATTTAATACCTTGTATTTGAAAGAAATCATATTCGTACAGGTGTGCCACCAGCAGCCGGGCCACCACTTCCAGCGCCTCCACCTGGTCCACCTCTAGCTGTCATGGCAGGCCCAAGAGCACCGGGTGAGTCTCTTAGCTCGTCGGATGTCTACTTGCTCTCCCAGAAAAACATGCGAGGATGAAAAGGTTGTGAGCTCCATCACCAATCTGGCGACACAATATCAGCTATGCATGACCCAGCCATGCATAGCCTTGTCCTGTTTCAATGACCTTTCACTGTTAATATAAACGTATGAGCTGCCAGCCATTTTTTCTGGCAAGTGACACTCTCGCACCATATGTTTGTTTCGAGAAACCACTTGTATATGTGAGCAGTGTTTGCTAATGAGCTACCTTCTTGCGATGCTGCTTTTCTTTTGAATTAGCAGTTTCATGTTGAACACCTTGTATCTGAAATAAATCATATTCATCCAGGGTTGCCGCCAGCACCGGGACCACCACATCATCCACCTCCACCTCGCCCACTTCCAGCTGTCACAGGGGGCCAAAAAGCGCCGAGTGAGTCTCTCAGCTAGTCAGATGTTCACTTACTCTGTTAGAAGAATGTGCGAAGTTGAAAAGGTTGTAAGCTCTATCACAAATCTAGCAACACAAGTATCAGCTAGGGATGACCCAGCTATGCATAGCCTTGTCCTGATTTAATGAGCTTTGCACTGTTTATTTAAATGTATGACCTGCCTGTGAATCTTTCTGGCAAGTGACACTCTCGCACCATATGTTTGTTTCGAGAAAACATTTGTACATGTGAGCAGTGTTTGCTAATGAGCTTCCTTCTTGCGATGCTGCTTTTCTTGTGCATTAGCAGTTCCATGTTGAACACCTTGTATCTGAAATAAATTATATTCATTCAGGTGTGCCGCCAGCATGGGGACCACCACTTCTAACACCTCCACCTGGCCTCCCTCTAGCTGTCATGGCAGGCTCTAGAGCGCCGGGTGAGTCTCTCAGCCCGCCCGATGTCTACTTGCTCTCTTAAAAATAACATGCAAAGTTTAAAAGGTTGATAGCTCGATCACGAATCTAACAACACAGGTATCAGCTATGCATGACCCAACAATGCATAGCCTTGTTCTGTTCCAATGAACTTTGCACTGTGCATATAAATGTGTGACCTACCAGTGAATGTTTCTCGCAAGCGACATTCTCGCGTCCAAAGTGTGCTTCGAGAACCCCCTAATATATGTGAGCATTGTCTGCTAATAAACCACCTCCTTGCCATGCTGCATTGCTTTTTCATTAGCAGTTTCTTGTTTAACTGTGCCTGAAATAAACCATATCCTTTCATTTGTGCCACCAGAACCAGGGCCACAACGTCCAGCCCCTCCACCTGGCTCACCTCCAGCTGTCATGGGGGGCTCAAGAAGGCCGAGTGAGTCTCTCAGGTTGCCAGATATATATTTGCTCATTTAGAAAAACATGCGAAGTTGAGATAGTCCCTCTAAAGAGCTACAGGATTCATCTAACAGCACAGGTATCATGCATGAACCAGCCAGTGTTGCGGAATGGGCGCCTTCGTTCTATTTCAATTCCAGTTTGGTTAATCGGGATTTGCCACATTTCTATTTCTTTCAGCTCCTCGGAATGCGAAAAAATTGGCCCATTACCGTTGCGCAAATGCCCGTTCAATTTCATTGCTTCAATTCCTCAATGTAGGAAACGCATCTTGATAGTTAAAATGAGTTAAAAAAAAGGCAAACCCCACATACAGTGGGAATAATTGATATGCGAAGCACCAGTGAGGAAGGTCATATGTAACTTGAAATCAGCACTACATGAGGAGGCGGAGGTAAATTGTGCACCACATGGCATTCATGTCATGATTATCATATTTTAACGGGTGATTTACCTTCGTCATGCATTCACGTGACGTAATACCAAGTTTGGTGTATGTGGAGTAAGCGGAGCGGCAGCGAGCGCGTTATTGGCGTAGCGTGTAGTCAAGTTTTACATGACCCGCATGCCCTGTTACCATCTTTGAACGTATCATTTACCGTCGTCATCTATTCACGTCACGCAGTACCAACTATGGTAAATGTAGAGCCAACCAAACGGCGACGAGCACGGTAAGAGCGTAGCATGTAGCAATGTTTTAAATGGTATGCATATAATGATTATCATGTTTGGACCTGTCATGCAAATTCATTGTTCATTCACGTCTTGTAATACCAAATTTGGTGTACGTGGAGCTAGCTAAATGGCAGCGATCACGCCATGAGCGTAGCATGTACTCATATTTTATTTGAGACGCATGCTATGATTATCATGTTTGGACCTTCATCGTTCATTTACGAAACGTAATACCGAAATTCGTATATGCGAAGCTAGCAAAATGGACGCGAGCGCATGAAAAGCGTTGTACGTTGTCATGTTCCTATGTGACACGAGTGTCATGCTTATCATGTCTGCACCAGTCATATAGCTTTGGAATTCATTGACGTCGCGTAGAAATGCTTCACATTTAAAATGAACGACTACATAAATAGAGTGTCGTGAGATGCATTAGGAACTGCAAAAGTACGTAAAACCCGTTACCAAGGTCGAGGGTTAGTAGCTTGGTAGCATATCTCATGGAGTAAAATGACCCTGACAATTCCCCTAAGAGCTGTTTTCCCACTACACATATATTTGCATGGTTAGCGTGTTTGAACAAATGGTGCTATTTTATTGTTTAAGCCTAATTGTGTTACTGCTAAACTGATGCCATAGCGTAGTTTTATGTTGACAAAAGAGGTATTTAAGAAGACTAAGTAGTTTTGCCCCACATCTCTAGTTATCGTAGATAAGGTGACAACTAGAATTTGGGTAATGGGGAAAACGACACTCTAGATCAGATGGTTTGAGATGGTCCAGTACAGCATCACTCGGGCAACTTTGCCTTTGCATCCAATACGGAACACACGGCCGCATTGCTCGTCAGTACCCACGTCTGTCAATCGCGCCCCGCAAGCATGGACGGGGTGAAAAAATGGATGAAAAAATAACCAGCTGTGAGCAGGTGCTGCTCACGGCTGGTTATTTTTTCATCCACTTTGAGTTTACGTGTGTGCAGGTATGCAATGTCTTTCTTGTTGTGAAGGTTATTTACGTGTGTCAGGTTCTAATCTGCTCGTGAGATAAAGATGAGGCTGATCATAAAGTATTCGCCCCTCTCACCTGGGGTACCAATGAGAGCCAACGAGCGAGGGTAACTTGTTCCTCTCTTCAGTGTCAGTTGGGATAATGTATTTGTTTGTACGCCATCCTATGTCGCGGTTTCTCTTTTACAAATTGGCAGATTTTTCACGGTTTACATCATGCCTACCCGACTTTGGCAAACTAAAGGTGGACCCAGAGAAAGGGTTATGGTCTTCGACTGCGATAAAACATGTACTTAGGCCTACATGACTAATTTGAGCATTATATTGTTACGGAGACTACAAATACGCGGAAGAGAGAAACGAGTGTATTTGCAATGTTTACAGGTAAGTGTGACACCCCACGGCTGCTAGGATCTCGCGCGCCGAATCTGCTTCTTCTTCATCGATGCATCTACGACAGCGGAGCCATGCCCACTGCCTCGTAACATCACCCCCTGTGGACGAAGCGCCGTCACGGCGCCGCTAAGTCAATCAAGACTGGCAGTGTAGTAGCATTATAGTCGCGACACATAAAAAACATCAGTGGTTGGTGTGGCAGAAGATGAGTGTGGTTCAACGGGAGTGATGAGGTAGTCGACGTCGGTGACCTTGCGGAGAACTTTGTTCTGCCCGGTGTATCGTGGCAGGAGCTTCTCGCACAAGCCTTCACGCCGATGCATCGTTCGAAGTAGGACGAGAGACTCAGCAGGGTAGTCAACGTCATGGTGTCAGTAATCGTAGCAGACTTTTTGTGAGGCCTGAGAAGCAGTGAGCCTAGTGTGCGTGATTTGGCGAGCGACGCGGGCTCGAGAAGCAACGTCCTGAGCATACACCGTTGGTTTGGTAGTATCAGAAGGAAGGGGTGTGTTGACTGCAACGCAGGGTTGCGGATGTACAGAAGAAAGAACGGAGAATAACCAGTGGTGTCATGCCCTTGATGAATTGTACGCAAACGTAAAGTAGGGGAGCATTGCGTCCCAGTCACAGTGATCAGCAGAGACGTACATGGACAACATGTCTGTAAGAGTTCGGTTGAGGCGCTCTGTGAGACCGTTGGTCTGGGGATGGTAGGCAGTAGTAAGGCGATGTTCGGTAGAGCAGCTACAGAGGATTTAGTCGATAAATTTTGCGAGGAAGCAGCGGCCACGATCCGTCAGAAGCTGGCACGAAGCCCCATGCCGCAGAATGACGTCATTCAGTAGAAAGTCTGCAACGTCTATAGCGCAGCTACTTGGCAAGGCATGAGTTAAAGCATATCTGGTTGCATAGTTCGTTGCGACAGCGATCCATTTGTTGCCTGACACAGACGTTGGGAAAGGTCCGAGCAAGTCGAGGCCGACGCGGAAGAATAGTTCCGGGGGAATGTCGATACGTTGGAGCAGGCCAGCCGTACTGAGAGTAGGACGTTTGCGACGCTGGCAGCGCTCGCAAGCAGCAACATAGCGGCGCACAAATTTATACCAGCCAGGCCAAAAGAACCGTTGGTGCACGCGGTGATAGGTGCGTGAAAAATCCAGGTGTCCTGCCGTCGGAGTGTCATGCAGATGTTGAAGAATGGTGGCACGCAGATGTCGGGGAATAGCTAACAAAAATACCGGGCCATCAGACTTCATGTAGCGGTAGTAAAGAATTTTGTTGCGTAGGGCATATTGACGGAGCGAAGGGTCGGAATGTCCTGAAGATAATCGCTCAATGACTGTCTTGAGGGTTGCGTCCCGGCGCTGCTCTGTGCCGATGTCACGCAAATCGGATATGGCGAGCCCACAAGAATCGCTCTTATGGACAGCGAGGCTAGCAGGGTCCACCGGATGACGCGAGAGACAATCGGCATCTTGGTGTAACCTGCCATACTTATAAATTACGCCGAAGTTATACGCCTGGAAACGTAGAGCCTAGCGACCTAGGTGACCAGTTGGGTCCTTGAGCGACCACAACCAACACAGAGCGTGGAGGTCCGCAATAACTGAAAACTTCCGGCCATACAAGTAGGGGCGAAATTTCGCTACAGCCCAGACCAATGCAAGACGCTCGCGCTTCGTTAACGAATAATTTCGCTCAGATGTGGAGAGAAGGCAACTGGCATACGCAATAACACGCGTTTTCACCCCCCTGGTGCTAAGCGAGGATGGTGCCGATGTCGTGAGCACTGGCGTCTGTGCGAACTTCAGTCGTCGTGGGCGGGTCGAAGTGAACCAATATTGGTGGTGAAGTGAGCAGCTGGATTAGCGTGGAAAACGCCGCTGCTTGGTCTTGGCCCCACGAGAAGGGTGCATTCTTTTTGAGAAGATCAGTGAGTGGTCGGGCAACTGTAGCGAAATTGCGTATAAAACGTCGGAAGTACGAGCTTAGCATCTTGGTAGTAGAAGGCAGAGGAAAGTTCTTGACAGCGCTAATCTTGTCAGGGTCCGGTTGGACGCCAGCAGCACTTACACGATGACCAATGACCGTGACTTCTCGTCAGCCAAAATTGCACTTTTTCGAGTTCCACTGGAGTCCCGCTCGATGAAATACAGCTAGAATTGTCGACAAACGAGTTAGGTGGCTTTCAAATGTAGAGAAAAAACAATCACATCGTCGAGGTAGCAAAGGCAGATGGACCATTTAAAACCACGGAGGAGAGAGTCCATCATGCGTTCGAAAGTTGCCGGAGCGCTGCACAGCCCAAAAGGCATAACCTTGAACTGATGAAGGCCGTCCGGTGTGACAAAGACAGTTTTTTCGCGGTCTAAGTCGTCGAAAGAAATTTGCTAATAGCCCGAACGCAGATCTATACATGATAAGTATCGTGCGCCAAGAAGGCAGTCAAGGGCGTTGTCGATTCATGGCAGCGGATATACGTCTTGGCGGATTATCCTGTTTA